CCCAGAATTCCCCAGCCAGCAAGGCTGGCTGGGGAATTCTGGGAGTTGAAGTCCACACATCTTAAAGTTCCCAAGGTTGGGAAACCCTAAATTAGAGGAAATAGGGATGTTTAACCGGTAGAAGATTGTGGGGAGATAGGATAGCAGCCATCAGATATCTCAAGGGTGGTCATGTAGGGGAGGGAAGGGGCTGGTTCTCGATTGCCCTAGAGGGCAGGATCACAACCCATGAGCTGAAACTACAGCGAAGTAGATTCAGGTTAGATATTAGGTGGAATTACATGACACTAAGAACAGTCAGCTACTGAAATAGGTTGCCCAGTGCTGAGAAGTGAGTCTTGAACTTGTCTTAAGCCATGCCCTTAAGACTCTAGTCCTCAAGAGACTTAGGGATGTGGAGCGTCAGCCACTACAGAAGGGATGGTTCCAGCCTCTGCTCAAAGGCCCCCAAGGAAGGGAAACCGACCCCTTCGTGAGGCAGCTGGAGCCGGGATCTTCAGACAGAGGCTAGCTAGTCACTGGACTGAAACACTTTAGCAAAATTCTGCGCTGAGCAGGGGTTGGACGAGTTGACCTTGGTGGTCCCTTCCAAGATCATGATTCCAAGGAGGGAAGAAAGGGAAGGCCAGACCCTGAAGAGACATGGAGATTCATATTGTTTTAAACTACATGTGGCTGATCTACACAGTTTTGGTCTGTCACCTCTGGAATGTCTTTCCCACCTAGGCTTGGTGAACTCCAACTGTTGTCTCCTTCTCCTTCTCCTTCTCCTTCTCCTTCTTCTCCCTTCCTCCTCCTCTTCTTCTCCCCCCTCTCCCCCTCCCTCCCTCCCTTTTCCTCCCTCCTTTCCTTCTCCTCTCTGGGTAAGTCCCCTCCCCCTTATTTTAAGTATTCAGTGGAAAAAACATGTGCATTTTTACTTGGAAGTAACTCATTAGAGCTTCTTCCTACCTCGGCCTCATGCAGCCCTCTGAATGTGCTGGGATTTCAATTCCCAGCCAGAAGAGTTTTTTCTTACCGTGACCTACAATCATACCTTATCTTAAACTGCTCTGAGAGTTTGGGGCTTTAAAAGTATGTCAAACAAAAACTAAACAGAATAAGCATGCAACTGCAAATAAGAAACCTTTTTTTAAAAGTTATTGTTAACATGTGGAATTCCACGGTGCTCATATGGAATTGTTTATACCACTCCACCCCATCCAGGGTGCATTTCTCTGCGACTTGGTGCTGCTGTACCTTCTCCAAAAGAGCAATTTTTACAGAGGGAAAAAATATGAGGAAGTGAGGTATGTTGCATGCAGCTGCAAAGCATTCTGTATTGACCGAGATTTATTATTAATAGCTTCCAGCCTTGCAGGAAATCTTTCCACCTGGACTTTTCTATAATGCGGCTTCTAAATCTGTCTTCCCCAAACTAGCGCCCTCTTAGCAGGCAATGACGCGCTGCTGGATGGGTTATTGGGTTGAGTTCTACCATATCTGACAACCAAGGGCCTCAACTAAGCTTCTGTGAGCTCCCTTGCCCTCCGTGAACCCAAGGGCTTCCTCAAACACAGCCCATTATCAGTATTCCCCAGAGCTCCATATTACTGATATTGGGGGAGAAATGTTTTTCTGGCTTATAAAAATCCATTGTAAATGTATTGGGTCACCAAAAAGACCCCACCCAAAGTCCCTGGCTTTATTCGGACAAAATAGGGTGTACAAACCTATCGATGTGGTTGCTAAGAGTCGACACTGACTTGATGGCATATCATCAATCAAAGTGTGTAAACCTTCCAGATGTTGTGGAAAGCAGAGAACAGGGAAGGAAGTCCTCAAATTACAGATCTTTCAGTCTTGTGGCCGGCCTCAAGGTGGAGATGTGTCTCTCAAAACGACGGGATCTAGATCACAGGAGCCTTGGGTAATCTAAAAAACCCTGGGACGCTTACTATTTTTCATGACTTTCTTTTTCCTCATGTAGGTCAAACACCAGGAAATCTTTACCAGAAAGTACTATCAATGGGAACCAGAGCGGGAACCAAAGTGTAGACTCTTTGTCACAGTTGAACCAGCTTGGACAGCTACAGACGGTTGAGACCTAAAGCTGATACCTTTTCTGGAGACCACCCTCCACAAAGGCATCAGCTGGGAGGGAAACCACCGATTACAGAAGCTGGAGGAAGGGATTATTTTCAGCTTCTTATGGCCTTGTTTTTTTGATACCTGAGCCAAGGTTATCTACACATCGCAGGATTTTAACTTTTTTTAGATCAAACCAAATGCCAGAGAAGCGTAAGTACCGTAGTTGCATGGCGGAGATCAAGGTCTCTACGTGGCATCTGCATCACCATTTTGAACACAGCGGTTCTTCTTAGCCTGTCAAATTTATGATTTGAGAGCACAGCTTGTCTGTGTTTTCTATGGAAGGAATAACCACACTCCAGGCATCTTGTCTGAAGTTATGTCAGTATTTCTTGAGGAACCCAACGAATCGGTAAGATTTTAATCACCTGCTTCCCATTCCACTATTCTTTTCGGATCCCTTCGTGCAAATTGACAAGCCTGTGGGATTATGAATTCTGAATGAATTCTTGCAAGGTGGGTAAACAACTCTCCACCATCCGCCCAACTAATGAAGTCTAGCTCACGACGGACACGTCTAGCACTTCGGATTGGTCATCTGCATGCTTCAAATGTCCACTTCATGGAAAGAAGAGACTGGATTTTATCTTTCTGCCTATTGTACGAAATGTACACAGAACCCACATCTTGTTTTATGACCTGTATACAGATGGAAATTGCAGGAATTAAATCAGAATGTTACACAGAGAACCCTAAGTCATATTCCTGATGGCTGCTTCCCCAGGAATCTCTGTGCATTAAAAAAAAAAGAGGAGGGGTTGGGAAAAAAATTATGATTTATAGTTTTGATGATTAGGAAAGATAAATAATAGAAAAAAGAGAGGGTTTTTCTGTAACCATAGAGTAAGAAATAATTTTGTATTTGTACTTATAATTGCTGTAAAGACAATCGGAAGCTACTTCTTTCATTCTTTCTTTTTGCACTTTTGGCTTTTTCTTTTTTCCTGTCTTTGTTTTCTTTATATTAGTTCTTGCTAGTTTTTATCTTTTAAAATTTCTTAATAAAAATTACATGAAAAAATTGGTTTTTTAACTGATGTCTCACACTGCTAGGGATTAATTTCACTAGCCTGTGATTTAACACCCATAAATGGAAACAGATTAGTCAGGTATCTTGCTGACACTAATAGACTAGTGTCAAAATCCCTAGCAGTGTGAGGCACCAGTTAAATGGAACTGGGATTTCCAAAGAGAGGGCCGCTCCCATCCTGCTGAGTGAGTCATGCAAACACACCCAACAGTTGATCAGGACAAGCTAGATTTGGACTATTTCAAGAGAGGATGTGCTCTTGGTTCAACTGATTTCCCAAAGGCAGCCTTTCAAGTGAAGTTCTACCCCTTCTGTTTTACAAAAACCAAGAAACTGTGGACTTTGGGGTTTGTAAGAGCCCAACATCCTATCTAGGACGTTTAAATATTTTAAATTCAGAATGCTACCAAATATTTGATCCTGATTGCTCTTGTTTCCTTTCCCTGACAATCTCTGTGGGCGATCTCACTCCGCTCAAGCATCAGCTTGTGAATAAGATGACACCTTGATGCTACGTGCAATGGAAGGATGTCCACAGAATCTGGTATACAAAAATCCTAACCAGTTTGAGCCTGCTAAGTAATACCGCCGAAGACAACGTGAAACAAATTGCCAGCATTTTTGCTGTGCCAAACAGAATTCCTGAGAAAGGGAGTACATTTCAGCCCTGCTGAAAACATTTACCAAAAAATAAAAAGGCATTTTTGCTTAGCACTAATTGCACAAGACACTGAGAATTACTGCAAAATGCTATATATATATGTGTGTGTGTGTGCATGTATGCGCGCGCACACACACACCTGACAGGATACATTATGAAAAGAAAAAGCAAAAGAAAGCTTTCAATCTGAAGCTATTACCAGGGAAAGCTAGAACTCCGTCAGGGCCAAAGCTGTGACTCAAAGTTTTTGTAAGCTTTACCAAAAAAAAAAAAAAAAGCTGTTCAGGGACTGCTATGCTTTGTAGGTATAATTAGAAAAACAAGGAGCACACCAAGAGAATAAAGTAGGCCTCCAAGATTCAGGGAGCGACTGCCAACGCCAAACTAAAAGGATGTAGACCAGTGTTTCTCAACCTCAGCCGCCTTAAGATGGGTGGACCTCAACTCCCAGAATTCCCCAGCCAGCAATGCTGGCTGGGGAATTCTGGGAGTTGAAGTCCACCCATCTTAAGGCGGCTGAGGTTGAGAAACATTGATGCAGACCAAAGCCTGCACTCTCTTTGCCAAGACACAGGAGCAATAAATGCAAACAGGAGATTGTGACAAAAGCGGATTTTACAGGGAGAGAATATCTTCCCTTGATTTATTTTACAAAGGTAGGGGTGAAGAAGCATTGGATCCAGCAGCTGCTTCTGCCCGAAAGACAGACTTTGATTTTTTAAAGATCACAGACGCTACCTCCGTTTGTCTCCAGAGTGGACTTTGTAAAACCGAGCACAAAAAAGCACTTGCTGTGTATTTAGGACAGCTGGACTACAGTATGTTGTCTTTGCCAATGTGAAGGACTGCTGTGATTCAAGACAAATGGCTTGGACGCAACTGACACTGATGCAACTTGAACACAGAACTATTGTGAAATAAAAGGAAGTGTCTGAAACGTTGTGGTTGTTTCTGTGTCACATTGCCGTCCCCTAAAAAGGAGCTTGATCTGTTGAAAGATCAGTTTAACAGCCTATTTGTCACCATGGCCAGCCAGAATCCTCCATTAAGCCTGGTGCAAGAATGCAACATCTTCGTCTGTTGTTTACCTGATTCTTCTGGACAAATAATCCTTAAGTCTGTTTCATGTCACTGTGGTGACTAGCAGCCATTCATTGAACTCGGGCTGCAAAGATTCATCTGCTCCTCTTTTAAGGGTAAAAAATCTGGAATCTGGTAGCACCTTTTCCAACTAACATTTTTAATTAAAAAGCGTAAGTTTTTGTTTAGGCCTTTTAATAAAATTCGTTAGGAAAAAAGCAAACAGACCAAAAAACCAAATAAAAACAAAAAAACCCCAACCCACTTCTCCATCCTGCTTTAGGTGCCCAGGAAAAACAGCTTTGCACTACACATTTTCCCCGCATGAGAGTCTGAACTCCGTGCATTTCCCACTGCCTTGGTACCTTCATCCAGAAATCCCCGCATGGAGGAGAAAGCTGCATACAGAGAAATAGATGGGGGTTAATTTAGAAGCCCTCCTCCCCAAATTTCAAAAAAAGAACAAAAAGAAACATTGTGACACATCAAGCATGACTGAGATGTAACTATAGCCAGAGGACTGCTGAGAAGCGAAAAAATCTGGAATGACTTTTTTTAGTTGAGACAGAACATGTAAATAGGGGAAGAGGGACTCATGGGACAAGTAAGAACACTTAACCAAGTTTGAGCTCTTCTGTGAGGGGGAAAAATGTAGGATGATAGTAAAGAACAACACACCTAAGAGCTGGTTTGTCTTTCTGGCCTCAGTTACAGGATATCTGTTACTGATCTAACCTAGCACCTTGTTTCCAACAGAAGACAGCATTTGAGGGGCTCACAAAGTCAATAAAGCAACTCTCTCACCCCCCAACGCCCAGTTTCAAGTCCAAGAAGAGGACCAGATGTTATAGTCTGCTTCCTGGGGCTTACCAAGACAGAGCAGCTGGAAGGGCAATTCAGCTCCTGCTTGAGTTCAGAGGAGAGACACTCAGAGCCATAACTTCAGAGCTATCATGGCATGAAGGTTAAAAGGGCAGGCCGTGAGCCGCCGTCTTTCAGAGCTCTTATTTCATTCCTGAATTTGCTAAGGCTGCAATCCTACATGTACTACCTTGAGCAGGGATGAGAAATCTGGGTCTCCACGGGCGTTAGGGTTAGGGTTCCCTTGGACTCACTGCAAATGTTTACTTGGAAATAAGTAACTTCAGGCCAAGCAGCCCTCCCCACCTTAAGCCTGTCTGCAACGAGGACGCGAATACTGTTTTTTCCTTCTGAAGTCTTTCAATGGGAGTGCATATGAAACTGTTCAAGCACTGAACATTTACCGAGAATCTTTCAAAATAGTACTTCTTGTTACATGGCAATCGAGGCCTCCAAAGGCCAGCTAAGGACATTGGAACAGAATTCTAGCCGCCTTGGGAAAGGCAGCAATCGCATAAAGATGAGGCCGAGGGATAAAACAGGAAGAAGGGAACGTCCTCTGGAGGGTGGGCTATTTACATGTCATTTTAAAGGCTCTTGGGGTTTCACATTCTGTTTAATTAGCAGGATTCTACAGGCTCGCTTTCTGACATAAGTTAGGGAGCGTGTGAGCAGCGCAAGCAGTGGGCCAGCATCCCCAGTTCTATGGCATCGGGGAGGAGGTGCCCGTGTGGGCCACCCTCCTCAGAACCGTTCTGGCTGGAGGTTCTCTTCCTCCTAGTAAACGTGCACCATGCCATAGAGGAAAGTCCAGAAGAGGATGTATGTGAATAACCCCCCAATCAGTCCCCCAGTAAAGAGAGGCCTTCGGGATTTAAAGTACTTGTTCCACCGCCGTCCAGCTTTTAACACCAAAAGCACCGAGAGTAAGATGGAGGCCAGGAAGTAGAAGATGAAGCCGTGCAGGCCGTTCAGGCCAAGAATGCCAGCGGTCGCTCCTGAGAGGGCAGAGACTGACGTCCTGCAATAATCCAGGATGGCCGCGTTCCCACGGACGGCTGCTTCGCTGATGAACTGGGGGCCTTCCCGTTTGGCCACCACTGCGGCCATGGCTCCAACCGTGGCTGGTGGGGCAGCTGTCCTTCAGCCCTGCGCTTTCTGGGAAGAGAACCAGGAATCATTCACTGATGCAGGTTTGCTTCTAGGAAACCCAAGAGACCGTCCTTCCACAGAGCCAGATAACAAATGAGAAACAGATTTATGCTAAACACAGCCCAGCAGCGATTAGCAAGCATCTTAAAAGAACTCACCCATAAAAGTAACACGTGCAGTTGTTTCTGAAGTAGAAGAGGCCCTCTTGTGTTTTTAAAGAAATGACAATTATAAATAAAACGGGGGGGGGGGAGAAGTACGAAGTATGCAAGCTGCTTC